CCTGTTCACAACAGGAAAAAACACCTTGGCACACTCGAACCACTAAACATCCCCAGCCAGACACCATCCCAGCCTGTCACACACTTCCAGCCCTGCAGCTGCGAGAGGGAGTCTCCAAACCACACCTCTGCTCACATACACACTGATCCCACAAGGGCTTTCTGCTCATTTACAGCATCACCAATTTATCAGCATCTCCCTCACGCTGATCAACAGCAACCTGACTCCTCCTCCACTATGCATTTCAAGAGTTAAGGAAGGCATCCATCCCCCTTCCAGAAAGGATAGCTGAATTCACTGCATCTGCCTTTGAGCTCAGGCAAGGCAAGCTCCTAAGTTCTTCTAGGATATGGCAGAAAAGGGACAATTAGGAGACCTATTTTGCTAACAGGAGTCCTGAGCTCTTCTGACAACAGCAGAGCCACTCAGCCAGCCCATTCCTTCAGCCAAGGATGCTGAACTTGGAGCAAATTTGCACACTGGAGCCTGCTCTGGGGTTCAGGATGCCAACTTCAACCTTCAGTCTTTCCCTTATCCCACTAAATCAAAGAGCTTAGTGGAGGCAGTCTCATTAAATGACTGTATTAATCTTTTGAGGCAGAAAGATCAGCTCTTTAGTCAGTGTATTACAGCCATTGTGTTTGCTCATTCCACCAAATCACATTGGTATGAGGTTGCACAATGCTTTTGTCAGATCCCATCAGATGTGGGATGAACAACTAACAAACCAAGGGAAAGTCCTACAGTAATTAAAAATATAAGATGTTACATGTGAAAGCCCAATTAGACAAGTTCTTTAGTCATGCCTGAGTACTTAGGCAGAGGAGAAACCATTACCAAAAATTCAACTGTGCAGCAGCAAACTCTGTCATTAGAGAAAGCCACTGCAGACAAATTAAGAATTAAACTGCAAGTGTACTCATATCGTGGGGAGCACTGACAACCAGGGCCATGAGCAGCTGCTCCAGAACAGAGCTTCCAGGTGCTATCCCAGTTTATGCTGGGGCAAGGGAAGGAGGGCAGGTTTGGAACAGCTCTCCCACAGTTTAGGCTGTAAGAAGCAGCACCCTCCAAAAAACCCTGCACTGTCCATGCCAGGAACTCGAGCTCGGCAAACTCATCCAACAGAATGAGGCAGAGGCTTTTTCTGCAAGACTCACAGCAAGTTCCAACAAGTTTTATGTGTGGAGGAAGAAGTCAGCACACTTCCACTGCTAGAACAGGACAGGTTCTATGCTTCTGCCTGCCTGGGGTTCTATCAGCTCTAAGCCAGGGATGAACAGCTGCAGCTGAGGACTCACCTTTGTTGGTGTAGAGGTCTACCTCAACAGTGGGGTTGCCACGGGAGTCAAAGATTTCACGGGCATGGATCTTGGTGATAGACATCTTTAGTACCTGAAAAAAGGAGCTTAGAATTAGTCATTGAATGGTTTGGGTTGGAAGGGACCACAAAGCTCAACCCATCCCACACCCTGCCATGAGCAGTGACACTTTCCACCAGACCAGGCTGCTGGATGAGCCTCATGCAGCCTGGCCTGGAACATTCTCAGGGATGGGGCAGCCACAGCTTCTCTGGGCAAACTCTTCCAGTGTCCCATGACTTTTATTATTAAAAAAACAAAATCACTTCCTTATGTGCAAGGGACAATCTCTTGATGTTTCCAAATGACCTCAACTGCAGTATCATCAGACCCCAGACACAGCTGCAGGAGCAAATGACAAATCTAAAGGAACCTCACCACGTCAGAGCAGCAAAGAGCTCCCAAAACAGCAACTCTGCTATCTGTCAAGAGTTCTTTTTGCTAAGAGACCAGGGTGCAATAGCTCTCAGCATGCAGAGTGCTCTTAGTATGCACAGCACCTGCTCAGAGCCAAACGGAACCAATGACCAAAGAGAAGAAGCCACAGCTCATTAAAAACTTGCATTAATAGTTACACCCTGTTGAGAATTTACAGGAATATTTTTTCCTCTTAACTTTTTATCTTAAAAGGAAAAAAAAAATCCCCCTAGTCTTTTGGATACTTCTTTTTTCCCTTCTTACATTTATCCACTTCAGAAAAGTGCAGCCAGGGAATTCTTATGTAAGCCCAGGCACATTTTAAAAATCAAGTCATACACATGCCTGTAAGCCATCGACTGGCACCAAACCCAGCCCATCTGCACAGAAGAAAGCTCAGCCTCAGAAGCACAACTATCTGGAAGCTGGTTTCTTGGCAAGCCAATGTGGGTGGCAACCCTGTTTACAGAAATGGTCATGAATCCTTCCACAGTTACTGCAAAGTTAAAAAAACATGACCTTAGAAATGCTGCTGCTGGTTCACAGTCTGTGAGGGGGTAGTTGCACACTCTTGTTCCTCCCCCACAGCAAACTCTGCCCTCCCCAGGTCAAAAGCACAGGCAACCTTTGCTTCCCCCCTTTTGGCTTTCCCTGTCCCTTCCAGCTGTCCTGCCCCTGCGTGCTGTCTAAGATTTCAGTCAGACCCCCACACTGACACATGATCTGACTAAAATATGAAACAAGACAGCTTCTTCAAGCTGACCTTCATGCTGCCACTACCTAGCTTCAGTCAGTGAACACACAAGCTAGAAATAAATCCCTGCAAGTCTCTGCTTATCAGTCCCACCCACACTTAGCTCTCTGCAGATGCACCGAGCAATGGCTAACAGGAAGAATGCCCACTTATCCAAAAAGGCTTTCGGAGTTTATCACCTGCTAAACCTTACTTTCATTTTTAGAACCTTGGCTTTGCTACAGAATTTGAGGTGGCTCATTCTTTGAAAGCACAGCCAGTTTCCAGGACGTCTCAGTGCAGTGCTACAGCTGTTTGTTGACCTTCATGAAGGAGGCACTTCAGGAGCACACACTGCAAGAACTTCCACTGGGAATGCCTGTGAGGTCAGACATTACTCCATCCCTGACAAAGGACCACAAGTCCCTCCCTTCCCTGCAGAAAGAGGCATTTCACAGCACTGCATTACCCTAGAAATCCATGATGCTCCTTATGCAAACTCTCCACTCCTGTGTTCAAGAAACAATTCTCCCTTTGAGCTATAGGGTAAAACTGATGCTGTTTAGCTCACCACGATATATTCTGCCTCAATCAAATCAGTCAACTCATCCAGAACACAAGGGTCAGCCCGTGTGTGCACAGGTTTAACCACAGAAATGCTGACTGAAGGCAGAGAGGACAGCAGCACTGTCTGCTCAGACCTTTGTCCTGTGCCAAACACGCAAACAGCCCGGTGGTATTTAACGAGCACACTGCCTTAAACCTTTTCCTGCAGCATAATCTGCTGACAAGGTCACTGTCTCCCTTCAGGGGAAGCCACACACTCCAGCTTTCCTGGCCTGGCCTGCCCAGGAGCACCTAGAACCCCTGCCAGCTCTGAGGACCTTCTTCACTACAGCTCAAGTCTAAGAAATCACCACGTATTCCTCATCTGACCCTGCACAGGGAATGCAGTACTCTCAACTAGAGATCACTCCAATTGAAAATTATTTCCAAAGATGTTTTATAGGCAACCCTACTACCAAAATCTGTCCTTGTGAGCTATCTTGCAGCCACACTTCTCTAAAATCAATACAGGGTTAAGGCTGAGCACTGCAAGCATCTGAATGGAGATTTAAAAAGCAACACTAAAGTTTAGCCATAGAAATAACTGCCCTAGTGAGTGTCTTATTACAGGCATGCCACATTTATCAGTGGAAGCCTCTCTTGACACTTAAAGGTCCTTATGACCGTAACTCTCATACCACCAGTGCTCTGAAAAAAGCTGAGACCTTTGAGTGCACTCTATGAGATCCCAACGTATTAATTCCCCTGCCAAAGCTCTCCCTGAAACTGGACAAATGTGCACATTCCAACCCTGCTCCTCTCCACTCCACGGGGCATTAATCCACCTCTACAACATGATCCAACGGGTTCTGAAGGATGCAGACACGTTCAACCACTTTCTCTCTCTGCGTTTAGTAAGATGGAGGCCTGAAAGTGCGTTGGCTCAGCCTGTGGGCTTGGATGACAAACTTCAGTACTTCCTGCCGGCTCAGACAGCCACGGCCCTACCCTGTGACTCAGCAGGCAAGTAACGGAGCAGGAGAAAGCCCAGGGTCCTCTCTGGCAGCCCTGCACGAGGCAAGATGGTTAACAGGCAGCTCTTTATCCACACCTGCACATCCAGCTGCTGCTCCCCACCAACGCTGCCCTGGGGTAACCAGCACTTAAATACCCGCTAAGAGACCTCGGGCACAGATGCTAGCAAACGTTAAATATTTGAGATGGGAAGCTAAAGGACATCTACTAAAGAGGGGAAGGTCCAAATCACCACACGCAATCCGAGAGCTACTGTTAATGATTAAAAGAAAGAGGTTAAACGCTGTCTTTGAGGATGCCTTGACCCACCGCATCCCCCTGATTCTGCCCCCGCCTTGACCCACCGCATCCCCCCCGCTTTTAACCCCCACCCCCGCACACCGCCGGGGCTCAGGCCGCCGCAGGCCCTCCCTGCCCCGCCGGCGCTGCAGGGCCACACAGCAGCCTGCACCCCCGGGGACCACCGAGCCTCGGCCCGGCCGGGGCTCCGCGGCCGCTCCGAGGGGAGCGGATTCCCTCTCCGGAGAAGGGAAGCGCGGCCTCCGGGCCCGCGGGGCGAGCCGCCGCACTCACCGCTGTGCCGGCAGCCCCGCTCCGCAGCCCCGCCGCTGTCGCCGCCCCGGCTCCGACTGAGACCCAACGGCCCCGCGCGCACCCGCCTATAGCCGGCCTCGCGCGCAGGGCCCGCCCCGCGGCCGCGCCCATTGGCCAGCGCCGTCCCCCGCCGCGTCCCGATTGGCCGCGGCCGCCTCGCGCCAGCGGCGGGCTCGCGTGCGTGCGCTACGTGCGGCCGGGCCGGGGCCTCGTGGAAAATCCCCGCGCGAGGGGCGGGGCCGGCGCGGCGCATGCGGGCGGGGGGAGCGGGCGGGACCATGCGGAGCGGGCGCGGGGGGAGCCGTGAGGCGGGCATGGCGTGAGGGACGGGCGGCGCGGCTGGGCACCGGCACCGGCACCGGACACCCGCCTGTCCCGCAGCCCTGCCGTGGGCAGCCACATCTCACACTGCCCCAGCTTGCTGCGAGCCCCGTCCACCCTGGCCTTGGAGGCTTTCAGAGTTATCCTCCATCCAGAGTGCCATGGATGCCCTGTGCCTCACCACCCTCACAAGGAATTCCTTCCCAATCTCCAAACTAAAGCTGCCCTCTGTCAGTTTGAAGCTATTCCCCTTGTCCTGCCACTGCTCGCCCTGTGGGCAGTCCCTCCCCATCTCTCTAAGCTCCCCTCAGGCGCTGTAAGGCCAGGACAAGGGTTCTCTCTAGGCTGAACAATCCCAGTTCCCTCAGCCTTTCCTCACAATTGTGGCCAGTTCTGGGCTCTGCAGTGCAAGAAAGGCGAGGAATACTGGAGAGGGTCCATGGGGGCCACGAATTTGGGGTCGAGCATCTCCCTGATGAGGAGAGATGAGACAGCAGGGCTGGGGCTGGGTGGTCTGAGGAGACTGAGACGGTGTGGGAATAACGAGTAAACCTGGAAGGAGGAAGGCTGGAGCGGATGTGTGTGTTCCAGGAAAAGGTTAATTACAAGCACAATAAATATTCACTCTGATTTTGAAGTGAGTAACCATCACACTTCCTGGAGGGGAGAAGGAGCACTAAACGTGATGGCTGTGACAGCTCACACCAGTGTGCCAGCTGGAGCACAAACTTTTCTGAGTATGTAATAAGTTGGGCTGTGACACCTCACACCAGTGTGCCAGCAGGAGCACAAATTTTCCCGAGTGTGGAAAAGTTGGGCTGTGACACCTCACACCAGTGTGCCAGCAGGAGCACAAACTTTCCTGAGTGTTCTGGGATAGTGGAAGCTGTCCCTGCCCGTGTCAGGGCTGGGATGGTTGAGCTTTAAGGTCCCAGCAAGCCAAAGCATTCCGTGTTCTATCTGTGGGGATGTGGCAGTGCCAATTCACCCTGACTGCACCAACAAAGCTGTTTTATTGCTCACAGATCAGTGAAGTTCGTGGTGCTTCAGCCCTGCCTCGCCCTGTGCCGGATGTACCTTCTGGGCACATTTTTCTTTCCTTCCTGAGAACATCCCCTCGGGACAAGCTTAAAGTCTAATAAAGAGCAGAGGAAGTCTGCAGGATTGACCTTCCCGCTGGGACAGCAGCCTCTGCAGAGGGAGAAGTCCTGTGCCAGCCAGGCTGGTTTGTGACAGTGCCCCGTGTCCCCCATGCCCACTGCCTGTGGGGCTTTTGCCTTCCCTGCACATCCCTGTGGCTGCACAGCCATGAATCAGGTTGTACCCAGCTGAGATAAGGCACCACTGGGCAGGGAAAGCCCTTGGAATTAAGCTGTCACAGGTAGATAATTCTTTGAAGTGCCAGCCCCCCCAAACTGCACATTGTACCCCTTAGAGCTGTGTCCTTGGCAGCACTTTATCCTGCAGCCTCACCCTGCCCAGTGTGAGGGCATGAGAGGGGAACATTCCCTGTAAAAACACATTCCAGATGCTGGAAATCCTAAAGCTGCATTTTTATGCTGGTTAACTGCTGGATTAGAGATGCTTCACTATCTTTGCACTTTATAAAAGTGCCTTTATTGCCATGCAGGAAAATCACACAGAGGTGTCAAATCTTATAATGAGCTAAAGAAAATGGAACACAAGAAAGCCTGAGGCTGAGGGAAATTAAATATTGTAGTAGCCAGCAAAGGCTGATGCTGAAGTACAGCAGGGTGCTCTTTGGGGACAAAACGTTTTCTGAAAGGTCATAATTAGCCTGGTGGGAGGCAGAAGTGGGGTTTAAAGGAACCCCCTGCCCAGAGCACTGAGCTCTTGCCCTATTCCCATTCAACCAAACCAAAGCTGTGAGGGAGAAGTGGCTGTGGGAGACCAACCTAAACCCCTCCTTGTGAGAAAGAACCCAGAACTTGCCAGGAGGAGTTTAGGTCTTGTCCCCTGCCTCTCCCTCCTTCCCTTGTGGGCACAGGGGCAGCACAAAGCAGATTTCCTGGTCTGGAGCCTGGGCAATGAGCTGAGGGCTCCGAGGAGGTACAGCTGGGGACACGGGGCTGCAGGCAGCAGTGCCCAGGCACCCAGGAGCCTGGCACTGATCAGGTGCTGGTATAATTTTTTCCTGGATCAGCAGATTTAAACTCGCACTGTGCCATACGTGTTAAAATTAAACTCAGAGCTGATATTAAAAGTGCTGCTGCTCAGCTGTGTATCCTACCTGATTTTTCTTTTTGTCTTGCTTTAAAGAGCATCCCCAAGGCTATGAGATTTCTAGGAAGCAGAAATTTCTTTTGGAATCCAAGCTTGTTACCAGTATCAAATACTCAGTATACTCTTTAAGTATTTCATGGTTTGGAAGGGGCCTGTATGGCTAATGGGGTGGACCCTGGGGACAGAGAGTTTGGGGACACATAAAGCCAGTGCTCCCATTCAACAGCCCACACAGGAACACTCACACAGCAGAACTGCTGATGGAGCAGGGGGAAAAACCACTGGCACAGACCTGGCTCACAGGCATCCACCACCCAGAAATAGAGAGCGACTCTCAGGAGCAAAATCCCTCCGCTGCAAGGCCTCACATTCCCTGTGCTTTACAGGGAAAATTGGAGTGTGATAAATGTCAGTTTTTTGGTGGCTTGCAACACGCTGATGAGCACAGAAGCCAGCCAGGCCAGCCTTTCCCTGCCCTGTTTCGAGCAGTTGGGCAGGAGCCTTCTGAGCTCTGCAGAGTGTGAAATCACTGGTTCAGGCAGCTGAGGGTGCCAAGGCAGAGCAGAACCACCACAGATCAGAACTTGTTTGCGATGCATTCAAGTGCTAATAACCATTAGCAGCAGCAGGGCACATTCCAGGGCGTGAGCTTTCAGAGAGCCTTGAAGCACTTCCTGCACGCTCAGGGACTTCTCTCTCCCCCCAGTGCCTCCCACAACACCTGAAGATGTGCCTGGGTGGCTGCGTGAGCACCTCCCTCACCCGCTGCATCCGACACCTCTGCAAGTGCCAGCCTGTTTGTGTTCTGAGCAGGTTCCCTTGGCAGGGCAGCTCTGCATCTCAGGGAGCCAGGCTTTGCGACTCGCTTCAGTCCAGGTGGGACCTCCAGAGGGAAGCCACTGGATGCAGACGTGAGCACTCTGTCACTCAGATTTCTGCTCTTCATCCACCCTGCAGATCCTGGTGTTTTTACGGACCCTTCATTGGAAAGGTAATGGCAGAGTCTGACTAACGCTCTTTCTGGGTATCTATTAAATTGTGGAATGACTGTTTGAGATGTTTTCTTCCAGGCGTTCAGAACCTCCTCTGACTTTACATCCTTCTCCCCCACTTTTCATCCCATTTTTTGCAATGCCTTTGTCTCACAGCTTCACCCTGCAGCGAGGCACCTTTAGGCGCATGAATAGTGAAATGGCTGGAGGTGACAGACCTCATGGCTTTCTTAATGCTCTTACCTTCCAGCACTTCCAGCTTTCTTAATGCTCTTAACTTCCTGTCTTCATCATCCTGTCTTCTCCAGGGCTTTAGTGGAGGGCTGGTTGGTCCATACTGGTTAGAGTGGGTCTGTGTGCAGTTGTGTAGTGTGGCTCCACCATCAGCCTCCCTGAGTACACGAGGGCTGTGTGAGACCCTCGGGTACCAGGCAGGATATTCTGTACTACTGGAAATGCTAATTTAAATTTACAACTACCACATCCATCTTCAGGGCACAGGGAATGGTCATTTGGAAGGGAACCAATGCATGAATCAGGGGACTGATACCAAAGAGTACATTTCCCAGGAGCTGATGATCCGATACGGTGATTTGTAGGAGACTGAAAGCTTCTGAACCAGCTGGATATTAATTGCCAGGAACTCTGGATCCAAAGGCCATAGCTGCTTGTTGCAACCATGCTGAAACCATGCAGTAATTCTCTTTATGGAGGCCAGAGTGCAAGTCCTGCACTGCTTCTCACAGAGTGTCTGAGGCTCCTTGCTGAGCAGGGCCTTCCCCCTCTCTTTGAAATGTATTCCACTATAAAGGGGAAAGCAAGTTAGGAATTGATTTGCCATTAAGAAATTGTATTTGGTGTTTAGGATTGGGTTTTTTTTCTGAATGATAACACGAAGAAAAAAAAAAGAGTAGTCCAATAACAACTCATTTGTTTCCTTAATGGGTGCAAAATAGTTATGTAAAGCACAAGAGTTATCAAGCAGGATCCTCTTGCCACAGAACAGGTACAACACAGACAGAGAATTTAAATTTCCTTCATGTTGTCTTCCTGCCTTAAACATCAACCTCATTCTCATGGGAAACACTTCCAGCTCCCATCATCACTTTTAGCTCCTCAGAGTGCAGTGGCGAGGATGGACTGTGGGCACTTTGCTCCTTCTGAAAGTCCCTGCAATGACCTTGCCTGCAGAAAAAAACACTGCAGAGCTGAGCGAGCAAACACTGGGCCCTGATGACCTTGGGAAAGCAGGGACTGGGCCCTTGGTCACCGAAATGGCGTGCATCTGTCCCCAGTTTGGATCTCTGAATGCATCTCAGTGAGGTCTGCTTTGTTCATCAAAAGGAGCAGGCATGTCCCAGACATAAAACACAGCATCTCTCTCAAGGCTGGTTTGCTGCGTGGGCCTGAAAGGAAGTTCAAGGTGGTATCTGCTTGTAGTCACATTTCTTCCATTCCACCACTGCATCTCTTAATCCAAATCCACATCTGACTGCCTTCCCTACCTTCCACATCTATCAGCAATGTCCTCTGATGTTTTCAGAAAATCTCTGCTGAAGCTTTTTCCTCAAGCCGGGCCTCTGTCAAAGGATCTCTTCCAAAGCAGCTCTGGTCCTGCTGGGATCTCTCAGCTTCCCCCATCTTTCCCCCTCTTTTTCCTTGGATTTTTTTGCTCTTGGGAAAACAAGCACAACTCATCCCTCAGGTGTGGCCTCTTCATCAAGTGCTGAATGAGCTGCACCTTTCTGATCCCTTATCTCTC